GTCAAAATACACAGGTAAAAAAATAATCAGCACACATTTGTTACACCCCGTGTCGCAAGTGTTGAATTAATCTGATAACTGTTGGAAAACAATGGCACTTTCAAAAAGACTCAATACAGAACAGTTACGTTTTATCAATTATTTTTACATTTGTCTTGATTGATTAGTAGGTGCTTGAAAAACTAAACGTTTCAACACTTACACTTCTTACAGTCAAAACCCTCCGTCAGACAACACTAAACAGCAGGTCTTTTCTCACACTGTGAACATAATTGACGGTTCAACTTATCCTTAAGCACTTCAATCTGTGCATTCGCCACCTTCAGTTGACGAACGAACTCTTTCTTTGGGGGCTCCTTGTTTTTGGAATTGGGAGGACGCCCCCTCTTCTTTTCTGGTTTCTGGGGTGTGCTGAAGTTGCTCGAGTTAAGCGCACTACTTTCTTCATCAGAAATATTATCAGCGTTTGTAACTTGTTTACTCTTTAACTTAGCCTGCAACACACAGTTAATGAGAATGGAAACATTAAGTAATGATTTCATTGCAAAAGGCAGAAACTTCAAGCAGAGTAATAATATTTCAATTTTAACTGTGATAACTTTATTAAATGATCTTACCACAAATTCATCGTGAGTTTCCTTGCATTTCTTCTCCAACTGAAACATAAATGAAATGCACACATTACACATAGTGTATTTCGACTAACGGAGGAAGAAGAAGAGCGGGTAGAACATAGAGGTTCCCGAATGGCCGAGCGCTTACCCCCGCTACTTGTCGTCACGTAGAGGCGGGAAGCTCTCGGCCCTTCCCCCACCACCGGCGTGGCGTAGTGGCGGGAAGTTACCGACCACTCGGCTCTTCTTCTTCGTCCGTTAGTCGGAACACACGAACACACTATATATCAAAGAAAATGTGGCATTATGGTAGTGACTGATACTAAAATTTTTCCTTTAAGCTTTATAGTACCCCAGAAATAAGCATGGTGATTTAACTATCTAACGCTACGGATATATTAGGGTGGTGAAAAGTGCAAGAGGACAGGACGAAATTTTAAGTCAACTGCAGGAATATTGGATACTCCTTTAAGCGATAGCACAGAAACTCACCGACAATTGGCTGAAGGATGAAACCGATTCTTTCGAAGAGGACCGACGCCAAGTGCCCCGCGAGTTGGACATGCTGCCGTGTCCGCGCCCGCGGCCACCAGGAGAGACATCGCGGTCGTGGTCTCGGTGACGTTGGGCGGCGATCGAGCTGCTGCCCCCTGCTCGACGCCGGGGAGACCGTGACCGGTTATCTACTTTACCTAAAGAACAAATCTCTTTTAACTGCGGTCCAGTGTAAAAGCATGCGTAGAGCAAGCGCGCGTCAGCCGCCTGCTCCCCCTCGCCCTCAAATCGCAAAGTCCCCAAAAATTATATCGTTACGGCATCGAAACTACTTCGGGCCTCAACGTGACCGTATTTCGTCAAAAAAATGTCTTATGAGTGTGTTCAACCCAATAACTACACCCGTTCTTAATATTACACGTGTTTGTTGTCGGTTCAAACTAATTCATCGTCACTACGATATGGGAACGATGTCGAAGACGATGAGCCGCTTTCAGACCCTCCACCCGACTAACAGCACCGACTGGGTAACGATTTCAGCGATACTGTGCTGATATCAGAACGATGTTGTGTTTCTCTCATTAGGCCCTACACGTCAGTAAATTTGCATAAGCCCAGTAACAAAAGACCCTCGCACTTTCCGATATCATAAAACGGCTTCTTGCACGACAGGATACACATTTCGTGTGAGAAGGATCTTAAGAACTCAACATTTACATCGTGCACAATGACGACCTTAATTTCAACATACCTCGTTCACTCATTGTCTGTTTCTTTGCGTGCTCTGCTCTCGTCACACTCCTCACTGCTACTCGCTACTGGGCTCGATCGTGTGAACGTTTGTAGGGAGGATATGGGGGAGGGTGGTGGTTGGAGGGAGGGGGTTGTGGATGGTTGTGGCGAGGAGACGTGCGTCGACAGCAGTCGACAGTTATTTGCAGATTTTCCCGGACGCACGATACACTAACACCAACCTGAGCAGAGAAGAGAAATCTAAATCGGTCAAACTTCTCCATAAAGAGTGTTCTCTGTCGAGTATCTGACCATAGCTCACCTTGTTATCTATAATGTGCACACGAAGAAGATTTGAGCTTGCAGTTTCAAAATCGGTTGGTCGCGTCGGTCTTCTGATACACTATTCGCAAGTTTCCTATACTTAGACGTTCAACCTTCACAACAACAACAACAACAACCACCAACAACCTCCTCACTATGAGATATCTTCCCGATATTGCCTTCAAATCAACCGGCGAGATAAGGACCTTTGGATTCCGGGACGTATCGCAAATAATGCACCCAGACTTGCTTGGTGCACTTGAACTTGATGGCTTCAATCGACGACGCATTTGAACTTCACGCGGTGAGGTTAGACGGCTGCTTTATTTACTTTGTGCAATCTTTTAAAGTTTGTGGTTCTCCTTCGTATATTCTGATGCATCATACCTTTTGATTTCAGGCTTTTTCAAAATGCCTGGCCGTGGTGCCATTGTGGAAAGAGGACTACAGAAGAACAGCTATTATATTCATGGGGTAGATGGACACAGTTACCATGTTAATAAGGTATCGAAAGGAGGAAGACTCTCTCTTAGATGTATACACTACGGAAGCAAACGAACCTGCCGAGCGAGAGCCAACATGGACAGAGATGGTAAAAATTTCCGACCTGGAGTTAACCATAGACACAACCACCCTAAGTCAAGAAATCTAGTACATGAAAGAAGATTTAGAGCTCGCCTGCTTAATCAATGCCGCCAGCTGGATTGTGCTGATTTTAGTTTGAAAGACCTGTACAACAAAGTTAAACGTGAAATGAGACAGGAAATGCAGTAAGTACGCATGAATGCCATTAGTACTGTAAAGTTCGTAGAAAGCACTACATGCCTAACATTGCTTGTTTTACTGTTTCAGCTTGTCCCGAGATGCTTTAGTCAACGTGCCATATGTTAAGTTGCGGCAGTCGATGCAGAGAGCCAGAGCGCAGATACTACCAAGGATACCCCACACATTAACTGATCTAGCTCATATTCTGGAGGATCCCAATTACAAATTTTTAACAGATACATTAGATGGGGAAGATTGCATCTATTTGGGCAAATGTGGTCAGTCTAGTTTAGGTACCAGGTGCATTATTTTTGCATCACGCAGGCATCTGAGATATCTATCCACCAAAAAGTTCGACATTATGAGCGACGCCACATTTTCAAGTGTACCAGGTGCAATTGGTGCTGCTCAGATTTGGACAATTCTTCATTTAAGGAGGCATCATGTATGTTTTGTATTTACAAGTTATTTCAGTGTAATAATTGAGGAGTATATATTCTTCTAACATGTGCTTTGCCAAATTTCAGACAACTCCTTTAATACGAGTGCTGATGCAGTCGAAATTACAAGAATGTTATGAGGAAGCTCTCAGGGCCATTCGCGCTGTGATTCCAGATTTTGCACCGCAGTCTGTCATGTGCGATTTTGAGGCCGCTCAGGCCAATGCTTGGAAAGCTGTCTTTCCTCTCATTGTGGTACTTGGCTGCTTCTTTCACAGTTCCAAGGTCAGTATAGAGTGTCTGTTGTGTATGTCATAGCTCTGTGTAACCACATCATTTATTAGCAATGGTACTTGGAAGGCTTGGGTTTCTTTACCAGACCTTACGATAGAATATCTTTAAACTTGACTTCACTCTATACCACATATCAGAAAGCAGTTGTAATAATTGTATAATTTTTAGATATGTACCTAGAAGCCTTATCTAAAACCTTCATGTTCTATACTCTATATTCTTTCAGGCAATTGCTGCAAAAGCAAAGAAACTTCATCTACTTCAATATATTCAAAGATATGAAGCAATTGATAGTATTGTCAGGTCATGCTGTGCTCTGGCACTTCTGCCACCAGAAAAAATGTGGGATGGCCTACTTGTCCTGAGCCTGAGAGCACAGAATGAGGGATTCTGGAATGTTTTATCACACCTTTTTGTGTACATAAGAAACACCTGGTACTCTGCATCAAAACTCCCTATGTTTTGCGTATATGATGCAGAAGACAGGACAAACAATGCTTGCGAGTCAGCCAATGCCTCCCTCCGCGCAGCTGTCAAACATAAACACCCAAACATTTGGTGTTTCCTCAGTAAGAAATATCTTAACTATTTGCATTTTTTTTAAAATTCTAAATAATGTGTTATTGACTGAATTTTTTTTTTTCATTTCTAGATGCACTAATTGACCTTGAAGACTCAACTGAAGACGATATTTATGTTCTGAATTCAGGACGAACACCCAACAGAGCACGAGGCAGAACTGTTCTAATGAATGACGAGACCATTGCTGGACTCCAAGCTGATTTGCAACGAGATAATATCACTATTGATGACTTTTTGAGGCAGGCATCAAGGAGAGTGGAAGGTGTATACAATATTGCCCTAGACCTTTTGTAAGCGGTCTATTGATTCTTGTACGAGGTTCTCTAATTTTTAATT